ATGTTGTGGTATTCCACAGGGGTCTGTTTTTGGATCTTTTCTCTTTATTCTATACTCTCAGACCCTCTCAAGTGTCATAGATCATTATCCAGTGTCTAACCAACTGTATGCTGATGACACCCAAATATACAAATCTATCCACTCAACTGAAGTTGAAGCTACCATCCAAGGTGTAGAGGTGCAATTCCGATGTGAAAACAAGTATATCATGTAACAAGCTGCAGATGAATGATGATAAAACTGAAGCCATTTAGATTACAACACAAAGACTTTCTCATTAACATCCTTTACCACAGAAAATTAATATTAGCAACACCAACATTGAATTCACACAGTCAGTATAAAACCTCAGTGTTACTCTGGATAGTACTCTCTCAGTGCACCAAATCTACCTATGCAAGGCTGCATATCTTGAGCTGAGATGCATTGGCTACATTCACAAGTATCTTTCAGATGATATCACTAAAATACTAGTGTGTTCCTTAGTACTTTCAAGACTGGACTATTATAACTCAGTTATGTCTAGTTTGACTAGAAATTTCAAAACACATCCATAGAGTACCATGATCAGAGTATGCCTCTCCGCTGTTCTGTACCCTACACTGGCTATCCATACAATCCAGAATTAAACAGAAAATTTGTTCTCTGTGCTACATTTAACTGACAGAATCGAGCCCAACATACCTATCAGACCTCACTCATGTGTACATACCTGCATGATATTTATGATCCTCTTCTGACAGTCGTATTCTCATTATTCCCACTATGAAAATGAAATCATATGGACAATGTTCTTTTGCATACTAGGGCCCAGCAACGTGGAACGAATTCCCCACTGAACTTAGACACAAAGACACAGTGATCTCATTCAAGATCACTCTTAAAACCATCTATTTCAGCTGCAAGAACAGACTTAAAGACTTAATAGTGTTTCCTTACCTTAAATATTTATAGCATGGTTTCTGTTTTCTAATTTTGTGGTGGTTGTTTTTATTTTTGTAATCATATCATTATATGTTTTTTAAGTGTTGTCAAATGTTGTAAAGTGCTTAGAACGTCTCAAGATTAGGTGCTATATAAAGTCCTCATTATTATTATTATTATTATTATTATTATTATTATTATTATTATTATTATTATTATTATTATTATTTTTATTATTATTATTATTATTATTATTATTATTATTATTATTATTATTATTATTATTATTATTATTATTATTATTATAATATATTCATTGGAAATACAAAGTGATCTTATATAATATTTTTGGAATATTGTAATTAACTGTAAGACTGTTAGTACATTATCACACTTCAGGCTACTGGTTCATTAGTACATTCAAGACTACAAGCACATCAACACCTTATGTGCTGGATGTTAATTAGAGCATCACTAGACTTTGATGAGCACTTTATTCATTAGGACTGGTGATAGAACTTTTTGGACTTTTTGTGATATAATTTGCAATACTTTAATTTTTCTTTAAAATTGAGCTTTGTATTCTAGGGAAAGAAATTATTTGTTGAATTTTACAAAACATTTTGGTTTTTGCTTTTTTCTATTACTATTGTCATCTGAGTTGTCTAGCTCTATTTCCAGAAGTAATGTAAAGACAGTAATTATCCATGAGTTGTCTAGGTATATTTATGTTGTCAGAAATAACAGAGATACTGTCAAAGGACAGTTTGGCCATGTGACTTGATTTTGTAATATACTGGATACATGCTAGAATCATTCAGGCACAATATTGGCATTGGCAACAGACTGCTTTATTTGTCAGGATTGTATCACTTTGTCAGGATTGTATTGCTTTGTATCACTTTGTCAGGAATGTATTGCTTTGTCATATTTTGTATTTCTATGTATTACTTTGTCAGGAATGTATCACTTTGTCAGGAATGTATCACCTTGTCAGGATTGTATTGCTTTGTATCACTTTGTCAGGATTGTATTTCTTTGTATCATTTTTTAATGAATGTATCACTTTGTCATATTTTGTATTTCTATGTATCACTTTGTCAGGAATGTATGACTTTGTCAGGAATGTATCACTTTGTCAGGATTGTATCACTTTGTCATGAATATATCGCTTTGTTTTGATTCAGGCATCATGATATTCATTCTTGTTAGTTAGTTTTTCAATGTTCCTGTTCCTGTGCCCAGTTTTGACCAAATAGTATACCCCCTCCCTTTTTTTTTGCTTAAAGGTCGCTGGCCACACTCCAACTTTTTTCTGTTTACATTAGATTTGCACACAAAAAGAACAAAAAAAAATTATCAAGTGTAAAGAAGAAATAATAATTTAATTACTAAAAAAAGACATATACTGCAGTTACTACCCCGTAGCTATGATTTCCCACCTATAGAGGCGGTCAGCCGGAAATGATGTACATTTATCCCCACATCACAAAGAACATGCTTCTTGTTGTTGAAAAATAAAACATTATAAACCAATGATAGGGAACATAGGTGGCCTGTGACCTTTAAAGCAAAAAACATCAATGGGGACTATTATCCAAATCCTAGAGACAACAATGACACTGGTAATAACTGTCTGTCTTTTGTAATACACTGAAATATATAGATTTGCAGAGATTCAAGACAGGTAGATAGAAATAATAGTACAGATTAGTTGTATTATGGATATATTTACTCATCCTCAATAGATCTTTACTTACATATGTACAGGTATTTTTCATTCCATTCTATCTTGGATAATCACCTATTCATGCACATGCCTTATCAATAATGGACAAGATTCATTTGGCTCTGTATGATAGAAACAAGCTGTAACATTACTACACAGCAGATATGGGCCCTCTGTTTGAAGATTTCATTAAGTACTGTGTACATATTATCTGCAGAATCCCTCCCATCTTGACCTCCTCTCCCTCCAAGCTGTGGTCAGTGTCTGATAAGGGATAGTGGAAATGGATCTATTGAAGTTAATCCAGTGCTAAGACAGGAACAAGATTGCCTGGTTTTCTGGAGAACCAGTGATAAGACACACAGTGATTTTGCTGTAGTGCATTAGTGCAATGTATATCTGTATTGTATTCTTGATATGCATATTTAATATGCATGGTGCATACATATGCATGTGTGTGCATACATTATACCTGCACATGCATGTGTGTGCATACATTATACCTGCACATGCATGTGTATGCATACATTATACCTGCATATGCACGTGTGTGCATACATATGCATGTGTGTGCATACATTATACCTACACATGCATGTGTGTGCATACATTATACCTGCACATGCATATGTGTGCATACATTATACTGCACATGCATGTGTGTGCATACATTATACCTGCATATGCATGTGTGTGCATACATTATACCTGCATGTGCATGTGTATGCATACATATGCATGTGTGTGCATACATTATACCTGCACATGCATGTGTGTGCATACATTATACCTGCACATGCATGTGTGTGCATACATTATACCTGCATATGCATGTGTGTGCATACATTATACCTGCATATGCATGTGTGTGCATACATTATACCTGCATATGCATGTGTGTGCATACATTATACCTGCACATGCATGTGTGTGCATACATTATACCTGCACATGCATGTGTGTGCATACATTATACCTGCATATGCATGTGTATGCATACATTATACCTGCATATGCATGTCTATGCATACATATGCATGTGTGTGCATACATTATACCTGCACATGCATGTATATGCATACACATGCAAGTGTGTGCATACATTATACCTGCATATGCATGTGTATGCATACATTATACCTGCATATGCATGTGTGTGCATACATTATACCTGCATATGCATGTGTATGCATACACATGCAATTGTGTGCATACATTATACCTGCATATACATGTGTATGCATACATTATACCTGCACATGCATGTGTGTGCATACATTATACCTGCACATGCATGTGTGTGCATACATTATACCTGCACATGCATGTGTGTGCATACATATGCATGTGTGTGCATACATTATACCTGCACATGCATGTGTGTGCATACATTATACCTGCACATGCATGTGTGTGCATACATATGCATGTGTGTGCATACATTATACCTGCACATGCATGTGTGTGCATACATATGCATGTGTGTGCATACATTATACCTGCACATGCATGTGTGTGCATACATTATACCTGCACATGCATTTGTGTGCATACATTGTACCTGCTTATGCATGTGTGTGCATACATTGTTCCTGCATATGCATGTGTGTGCATACATTATACCTGCACATGCATGTGTGTGCATACATTATACCTGCAAATGCATGTGTGTGCATACATTATACCTGCACATGCATGTGTGTGCATATATTGTACCTGCACATGCATGTGTGTGCATATATTATACCTGCATATGCATGTGTGTGCATACATTATACCTGCATATGCATGTGTGTGCATACATTATACCTGCATGTGCATGTGTGTGCATACATTATACCTGCATATGCATGTGTGTGCATACATTATACCTGCATGTGCATGTGTGTGCATACATTATACCTGCATATGCATGTGTGTGCATACATTATACCTGCATATGCATGTGTGTGCATACATTATACCTGCATATGCATATGTGTGCATACATTATACCTGCATGTGCATGTGTGTGCATACATTATACCTGCATGTGCATGTGTGTGCATATGTATGGATGTGTGTGCATATGTGCATAGTGGCACTCATGATTCAGTGGGTATGCATGCACATGGTACATATATATTTATTAGATTAAATGACCTGACAAATTCATATTGATACAATGTCTGTAGTGTGGCAGTTTATGGTGATGTCTAGCACTGGGGCATCATGCCGCAGACATGTAGCATGATGTCCTACCCAGTCATATTATCCTGACACCAGTCTGACCAGTCCTAACACTAACCTCTTAATGCTGAGTGTCAAGCGAGGTAGCTGTTAGTACCATTTGTGTAAGTCTTTTGTATGACTCGACCGGGGATCTAACCCACATTTTCCTCCATCTGAAGCAGATACTCTAACCACTAAGCCACCTGAGCGGTTAGATGTGAATAATAGACTAAGCTTAATAAAGGCAATGTTAGCATATTGTGGCTTGAGTTAGGGAAATTCCAAATCTGTATTCAGCTTCTAAAATTTTTAGGGCTGACTTGACATAAAACTAACTGTGTAGAAGTATGGATGAAACATGGTGAATTCATGGTTGATTTAAGGCAGGAATTTTGATATGTGCATCCATGTGTGGTTGGGTAAAAGTTGGGATCAAACATGGTGGATCCATGTGTTGTGTAAAAGTGAAGATGAAACATGGTGGATTCATGTGTGGTTGTTTAAAAGTGTAGACTGACAAGTTGGATCTATGTGTGGTTGTGTAAAGGTGGAGATCAAACAAGGTGGATCCAATAAGTCATTATGTTAAAGTATAGACTGACAAGGTGGATCCATGTGTGGTTGTGTCAAAGTGGAGATCCAACAAAGTGGATCCATGTGTGGTTGTGTCAAAGTGGAGATCCAACAAAGTGGATCCATGTGTGGTTGTGTCAAAGTGGAGATCAAACAAGGTGGATCCATGTGTGGTTGTGTCAAAGTGAAGATCAAACAAGGTGGATTTAAGGTGTAGTTTTGTAAAAGTGTTGACTGATAAGTTGGATTCATGTATAGTTGTATAAAAGTGGATATCAAACAAGGTGGATCCAATGTGTGGTTATGTTAAAGTGTAGACTGACAAGGTGGATCCATGTGTGGCTGTGTAATAGTGGTTGTCAAACAAGGTGGATTCATGTGTGGTTTGTCAAAGTGTAGACTGACAAGGTGGATCTATGTATGTTTGTCATGGTTGTGTAAAGGTGAAGATCAAACATGATGCATCTTGTAATCAGAGACAATAAACTTTGCTTTACATTTTGAAAATCTGACATCTGAGGACAGATTGTTACACACAGCAGCAGACTTGGTATTTACAAATATTCAGCAGAAATAGGAGCATGTACTATAAGTATGTTGTGTTTGAAAAGTTATCTATTCTGAGACCTGCAGAAACTCACTTCATGAATTCAGGATCCCAAGGTTAAACTGTGCACTAAGAATGTAAATAATAATTTATATTGGCACAGACAACTAAGTTCCACAGTCTGTAATGCATATATTTGAAAATGGCTAAAGGCAGGCAATGTGTGTGGGTGGGATGTATATTCAAGTGCATTCCCATTTGCTCAATGCAAATGTCAAGATGTCAAGAAAGATGTCCCAGTTTCTTTAAATGTCTACAAATGTGTTCCACAGTTTGAAAAATCAAAATATAAAAAGTTCCCATTGCAAAAGGCTATTCCAACCTGAAACCTTGTCCTGTCAAGCTGGAGAATGCTATGACTGTGTATGTATTACATTTCCATACAGTAAATCTAGTTCTCCGCTGTCAGCCATTTTTTTTACCACCTTTGTATTCAGTTTGCATATGGGACAAACAAACAAAAAACAAACAACAACAAAAATACCTGTACATATGTAAGTAAAGATCTATTGAGGATGAGTAAATATATCTATAATACAACTAATCTGTACTATTATTTATATCTACCTGTCTTGAATCTCTGCAAATCTATGTATTACAGTGTATTACAGTGTATTACAATCACTTTCCATATAAAGCTTAATTTGCATAACAGATACCATGACAAAAATGGCAAATGGCTTGAATTCGAGACTCGTTGATTTTAGGGTCAGTAGATCAAAGGTCAAGATCACAGTCTCTTTGAACAAAAATGGTTTCCACATGATATATTTAGTCTCTTATCACCCAATCTGGCCATACTTTGTGGAATGCTTGCATTTTAGATAACTATTCATTCTGGTGTGAAAAGGTCAAGGTCACTAACTAAAAGAAGAAAAATGTTTTATTTTTATATAACAAATTTTGTCCCAGAAAATATAATTTAATCAAAGTTTGTGGAAGGCTTGCAGATAGAGTATGGAGTAGGCCTATTGATTTGGGGGGGGGAGTAAAAGGTCAAAGTTTGTGGAAGGCTTGCAGATAGATTATGGAGTAGGCCTATTGATTTTTTAGGGCAGGGGGCAGTAAAAGGGCAAAGTTTGTGGAAGGCTTGGAGATAGATTATGGAATAGGCCTTTTTATTTGAGGGGGGGATTAAAGGACAAAGTTTGTGGAAGGTTTGCAGATAAAGTATGAAGCAGGCCTATTGATTTTTATATGATGAGGGGAGCAAAAGGCCAAATTTTATGGAAGGCTTGCTTATTGATTTGATGGGGGGGGGAAATGTCAAATTTTATGGAAGGTTTGCAGATAGATTATGGAGTAGGCCTATTTATTTTTATATGGTGAGGTGAGTAAAAGGCCAAATTTTGTGGAAGGTTTGCAGAAAGAGTATGGAGTAGGCCTATTTATTTGAAGAGGGGGGAATTAAAGGACAAAGTTTGTGGAAGGCTTGCAGATAAAGTATGGAGTAGGCCTATTGATTTTTATATGGTGAGGGGAGTAAAAGGCCAAATTTTGTGGAAGGTTTGCAGATAGATTATGGAGTGGGGGGATTAAAGGCCAAAGTTTGTGGAAGGCTTGCAGATAAAGTATGGAGTAGGCCTATTGATTTTTTTTTGTGGGGGGAGTAAAAGGCCAAAGTTTGTTGAAGACTTGCAGATAGAATATGGAGTAGGACTATTGATTTTTTTTGTGGGGTGTGTGTGTGGTAAAAGGCCAAAGTTTGTTGAAGGCTTGCAGATAGATTATGGTTTAGGCCTATTTATTTGGGGTGGGGTGAATTAAAGGCCAAAGTTTGTGGAAGGCTTGCAGATAAAGTATTGAGTAAGACTATTGATTTTTAGGGGGGGGGAAGTAAAAGGCCAAAGTTTGTTGAAGGCTTACAGATAGAATATGGAGTAGGACTATTTATTTCGGGTGGGGTGAATTAAAGGCCAAAATTTGTGGAAGGCTTGCAGATAGAGTATGGAATAGGCCTATTGATTTTTAAGCAGAGGGGGGGGGGCAGTAAAAGGCCAAAGTTTGTGGAAGGCTTGCAGATAGAGTATGGAGTAAGCCTATTGATTTTTAAGCGGAGGGGGGGCAGTAAAAGGCCAAAGTTTGTGGAAAGCTTGCAGATAGAGTATGGAGTAGGCCTATTTTTTTTAGGGGGGGGGGAATTAAAGGACAAAGTTTGTGGAAGGCTTGCAGATAAAATATGGAGTAGGCCTATTAATTTTTTAGTGGAGGGGGCAGTAAAAGGTCAAAGTTTGTGGAAGGCTTGCAGATAGAGTATGGAGTAGGCCTATTTTTTTAGGGGGGGTTAAGGCTAAAGGTAAAGGTTATTGAATTCAAAGAATAGGATGTTTGCAATCATTACTTTTTCCTATTACAAGTTCTTTGACAAAAGTTTGTGCATGGCTTGTATATAAGGTTGTAAAGAAACTTTTAGATTCTGGGATCATGGCTACATTAGGTCTGATAAGAAAATGATGGTTTTTGCACAGTAATATCAATTTAATGCAAGCCTTGATCATGTCATTCAGATGTGTTCAACAGTAAAGACCAGAGTCAGTGATACCTACTAGTGCTTATTTAGAAGTCTGTTAAGCACAGGGTGGGCATAGAATTGGCATAGAATGGGCATATAATTTGCATAGAATGGACATAGAATTGGCATAGAATGAAAATAGAATTAGCATAGAATGGGTATATTTTTGGCATATAAGGGGCATAGAATGAGCATTGAAATGGCATAGAATGGGTTATAGAATTGGCATAGATTAGACATAGAATTAGCATAGAATGGGCATATAATTGGCATAGAATGAGCATATAATGGGCATAGAATTGACATAGAATGGGCACATAATTGGCATAGAATGGACATGGAATGGAAATAGAATTAGAATAGAATGGGTGTATAATTGGCATATAATGAGCATAGCATTGGCATATAATTAGCATAGAATTGACATAGAATGGGCACATAATTGGCATAGAATGGACATGGAATGGGCATATAATAGGCATATAGTGGGCATATAATAGGTCATTCATTGTACAGTTGGTCTTTTTCAGTACTGCATGGAAGCAAATCAAAAGTTTTTTTTGAGATATTTTCATTCAGTTCCATTCATGCACTTGTTCACAAGAAATGTCATTTGAAAGAACAAATTTTTGGTGTTGGTTTTGGCCATTATATAAAGACTAGCAGATGAATGGTAATCAAAAATGTCCATTTGTCCATAAATCCACTCTAAGATGATGCACTTTTAACTCATATCATGCAGCAATGATTGGAGATCTTTCAATTTTATTCATAATGCAATTTCAGAGGACAATGATTGGAGATCTTTCAATTTTATCCATAATGCAATTTCAGAGGACAATGATTGGAGATCTTTCAATTTTATCCATAATGCAATTTCAGAGGACAATGATTGGAGATCTTTCAATTTTATCCATAATGCAATTTCAGAGGACATTGATTGGAGATCTTTCAATTTTATCCATAATGCATTCTCAGAGGACAATGCTTTACAGTTGTAGTTCCCATGACAATTCCAATGCAAGTTGTGGTCTATATACAGAGATAAACGTTTCTCAAGTTTAACATGTTCAATCTATTGCCCAATATTAACTGTCAGATAAAGTTTAAGATTTGTGATGTTGCTAAGATCATATACTTTTACTACAACTTGCTATCATTTTCCTTAGGTCAGAAGAAGTTGAAAGTTTCTGAAGGTCAATATTTAGCTTCTCCATGAGACAGCCGGACCTCTTTCATGGATATTCAATCGATGAAAACATTCCATGTGTACACAATTAAAATCATGTATTTTCTGTTCCCTGCTTACATCATATGAAAGAGAACAACTGCTATTAAACTCCAGGGTCAGGGTGCTTGTGGGGTGGAGTGTGGTGGTGGTGGGGGGAATTGTCAGTAAGGACGTTTTAGAAATAGGTTATCAGTTGATACTTGATTAATTTGGCAACATTCATGGAATAGAATATGATGTAATATAAACAGCTGTGTTAAAAAATAGAGTGAATTAAACTTCTGATC